GATTAATGTACAGTTTAAGAGAGCCATTACTTTGTGACAGACACTACAGAAGCCAAGTGTCAGATAATCTATCAACTTCTGCTCCAGTCTAATTCTAATTTAATGGTTAGAACTCTTATTCTTACGGTCTTGTTTCAAATATGATACTACAAAGACTTCAGCAGGATACATAGTAGTTGCTGTGAAAGTCTTGTAGTGCGACTATCATGCAAGCATTAAATTTGACGTATTTTAGCATTAGCCAAAGCACGTTTTTGAAGACGATGAAGCGCCACAATCCCCTGCACAACCACTGAAGGAAGAGCTAAGTTTCGGCTACAAACGAAGAAAGGAAACCCGACGCGAAGGCAGCCGGGGCAGCGGCTGCAGCTCGGCGGCCAAAGGTCCCTCCGGCCCCGGCCGCGACCTGGCGGGGCAGGGACAGAGGAGGCACGACCCGCCGGGTCCTAATGCCGCCGGGCCCGGGCAGGAGCCTCCCGCCCCGGCGGGCTGAAGGCACCGGGGCGATGCCCGGACCATCCCAGTGCAGACATTTCTGGCGGTGCTGGCTTGAGGACAGATGTCACGGGGAACAGCCTGAGGCCGCTCGGACGCGCTCATGTGCAACACGGTCCGTGTGCCGGAAACCCGCAGAGCTGAGCACTGCCACGGGTGGAACCACCTCCCACCTCCCCCGAGAGAAAAGCACGGAAGGATTCCACGGGAAAAGGAAGAGGACGGTACCCCACCAGCCCCTGACATCGGTGCTCCTTCTATACTTGTAAGAAACCCTGATTTGTTTGTCAAAACACAGCCCCTTAGCTTTACCTGAGAGCTGCTCATCTTCTTCACGCAGTACAGGAACAGAAAAAACACTCTGGAACAGGTGGGAAAGTGAGAGAGGAGGACTAAAACTGTACATGCTGCAGCAGACATGAGCACTCCAGGATCTCTCCTGGCAAACAAACGAAGGCTTTGACAAGCCAAAGACTGCAAGGAATCCAGCGAGGCAGCTTTTATACCTGTAGATGTGGAACACACCAGCACATCCACTTTCTGGCTTGCTCTTGTTACTATGGTCTATTAATAGCAAATGCAGCTGTACAAGATTACCACCCTCTGCACCTTCACACCATTCTTTCAAACACATCAGCTGGCCAGAGCAGTAATTTCTGACGTATTTTCACTTTGCTACCTCCTTCTTTTCTTGCCTGCACATCAACAGCACTTGAACATTAAACAGTAGACTTGTTATAACTTTATATGTTGTAATACCATTTTAGTGAGACATCCTTAAGTGACCTGAGATGACTTGGTCTGGGGCTGCTAGAAGTACAAACAGGATTGAAACAGTTGCATTTATTGCCTTCCAGTGTTTCCTGTGCAGTTGCGATCACTGTTGTTAACAGCTGCACATAGTTTTCATTAACGTGCCTAGTCTTGCTGCCAAAGCTGACAGGGGATGGGACACACAAGTTCCCCATCAGTGAAAGCAGAGTTAGGTGGGCAGTGACAACCTCCTCATGAAAACAAGCAGGGACACAGAAAAAGTTGCCCCCAATGTACAGCCATAAGTAATGTTGAGTGAAAAATTTAAATTGAAGAGTGGTCTTCCCATAGATGTATCTGTTCGCTTTGGCATAAACTCCTCCATTACATACTATGCACGACAGAACAAGACCATTATTTAAAAGCCAAAATACCTGACTTGTGATATGTTTTATCTATCCTGTCACAGCAATCTGTCTTACTGCTATCAAAACCACAAAACAAAACCACAGAACAAAAATTCAGGAGACATACACACACTTTCACTAATCAATGAAGGCTTAGCGTTACCACCAGTACATATGGCACATGAAAGAAAGCCCAAATGTCCTAAAGATTCAAAACAGTATCAGAAAAGTTTTACTTTATATACTTTTCAAAGCTTTTCCTCCTGCTGCTGTAAGTGCACCTCTCTCTCCCTATTACAGATACCAAAGAGCCTGCTCCTAGCAACATTCTGATGTGAAGCTTCTGTAATGTGATAATTTTTGTGACTTCATCAATAGGTAAATCTGTTTAGTCTTGCATGTTCTTATTAAACAACAAAAAATCAAATGGGTAAGAAAGCCAAATTCAAGGAGAGCTAAGGTAATCAGGTCCAGCTAGTTCAATCTAACACTAATTAGTGTCTTCACAACGTGGAGAGCATTAGATCTGTGCTATCAACTTCGAAAATAAAACAATTTCTGAATCTGTCAAAATACTTTTAAAAATACACAGGTGGCAATGCAAATCAGATACTTCTGTAGCCTCTCATCAAATTATCCAGAAATGAATACAATGAAACTGTACCACCTTGCTAAAAGAAACAAAAAAACCCCCTAAAAATTGCTATTTCTCAGTTCCAACTTGGGCTCACAAGACAGACATAGCTTACAAACCCAGCAAATTAACAGTGTGAAAAAGAGCAATCAGACATGGTAAACCACAGCTTTTTGAAAGAACATACATTGAGTAATTGCTAGCACACGCATCCGAAGTGCACAAAACTTCCCAAGGATTCAAATGGATATGAGCATCTTCCACATTTTTATGTGCAATGGCATCAAGTTTCACTGTGGGCTGCAATAGCGAGGGCATGCCTTGGGGCTGGCATGTTCATTTAACATATGAGTCATTCAGTGTGGAAACAACATAACAGAAATATCCACAAACCAATGAATTGTGAAAGAACTATAACATTTTCCCCCTCAGGCCTGCACCTACTAAAGTGTCACAAATTAAGTTAATATCACAGAAATTGTTCAGCAAAAGAGGAATTAAGCAGAAAATTACAGTCAACTCTTTTAGAAGTCAATAACTTAACTGTTTTTATTTGAAACCATACCAGTCAGTACAGTCATCTTAGAAAAGATCAATCAAAAAAAGACACTCCAGACTTGACTTTTATAACTACTGCAACCACAGATAAGATACCTCTACAACATGGAAATTGTGAAGTAGGTTTTTCTTCATTACTATCCTCCTTCAGAATCTGAGGGAGTTAAAAAACTTAACATCACTCCCTTAGCCCCCTCTCCCTCCACCCCTCACACCCAAAAAGTTGGTTTAAAATAAAAATAAAATAAAATAATTAACCAAACACTTGATGTGAAATGAACCTCAGTGAAAGATTAGCCTGGCAATGAAAAAAAAAAAAAAGTTGTAGAGCAGCCTAGCTTCCTCTCCATTAGCTTCTTACTACATTAGCCCACAAAATCACAGCAGTCAAAAAAACCCATTTATAAGTACATCAAAGCAGCTATCTAAGTTTACATTCATATATCTAACATATTTGTCCAAGTGCAGTTAAGGGAACCTAATATGCCCCTAAATTTAAGTTGCTGATTTGTGTTTTGTATTTTGGCACTGGAATGAGTACATAGCACTTTGAAGGCCAGATTTTATCTCCCTCCCACCTTGAATGTTAGAGAAAGGGATATTAAATAGTCCCTCTTAGTCACCTTGCTTGCCAATCTAATTTCAAATAAGGAGACTGCTTACATTAATCTTTTTAGGTCTAACTTATGCACTTCTATCAGACCTTTGGAGTGTGGCCACAGACCTCCCAGGAGCTCACCCTACCAGACACCCTCTGTCCTTCCTCCCCCAGTATCTTAGTGAGGATGCTCTGTTTCAATTAATGCTGCCCTCGGTACATGTTATGATGTGCATCTCTACCGTGCAGTGGAGTGCAGAGCAGCTGGGTTCTGCCAGCCTGGCTGGTGCTCACCTCACCAGAATACACCCCAGTTTTTCCTGTGTGCCCATGGGAAATATCCGTGTTGGCACAAGGATGTGTCTGAGCTCCTTATCCTTGCCTCTCAGCAGGGCTAAGGGCTCTGACAGGCCCGCTGTTACCACTCAGACATGAACCACCACCCCTCTGACCAACACAGCCTATCCGATTAACGCCTAATCCGCTTGTGAATCGGCTCCCGAGCCACCGCTGCTTTCTGCAGGGCACGACAAAATTCAGAGTTCCTGACGTGTGTCTAAACCCTGATTCCACTGGAAGTAGCACGCTCTGGAACAGCTATCTCAGCTGTGAAACTGGCTCAGCAGAAGAATGTGCAGTGCCTGTGCTGCTCTTTACTACAGAGGATATGCACATCCAGCACCTCAAAATACCCTTGCCAAGGAGCTTTGAGAACTGCCAGCTGCCACCAGAACAGTTCCATTTCAATATAAACCACCAGTGGGATTCAAAGAGTAGGACAAAAAAGAGGCATAAATTCTTTGTTAACTTCAAGAAGTCATTATCTACACAGATAAGAATATACTTGGCTTTGGTGAAAACAAAAATTTTTGCCTAGGGAATTGTTGGCCTAAGTTATTTAAAATACTAAATTTAAAGGAATCACTTGTACTATACTGCAGTTACAGTAAAACATTCATCTGTGTTTTTACTTGCACTTTCTAATTGTGTAAATTATTTAAATGGTGTGAAACTTCCAACAAAGTAGTACCAATCAGTAACTCAGCATGCTGCCACATTTTTTTAACCAATATGAGGATTAAAAGTTTTCAGCTATGATTAGTTTGTCAATAATTGCGTGTTTTGTATCTCCTGCAAAGCTGGATGCAATGCTTGTTAGAACATTCTCATGTGTAGTGGTGAAATATGCCACGAGAGTTTATACTCAGAGAGAAAAAAAGCATTTTTTTTTTAAATGACAGTTCAAAAATATTCAGTTCCAAATATTCAGAGAAACAGGCTCACAAACAGTGAGCCATAAATGGCCACTAACTCCCTCTCTAAAATAATTCATTTTTGTATAAAGATGTTTTCACTATTTTTATATGCAAGAACTCAATGCTAAGTAAAGTTGTACAATGCTTCAGAATTTAAAATACTTCATGATATAGAGCAATCCTCCTACTTTTCACATTCTAGAAGAAAATTTCATCAGACAAATCCTCAGAGAGAGACACAAACACATTTTACTGAGAACTATCACGTAGTGTTTAATAAATTACATGCAAATTCTTACCAGAATGCCAATGCTTTTGAAGATGCTGTATCCATTGTTATCCTCAAATATCCATTCTTATTCATCGTTAGTACCCTGCTTCCTTTGCACTCAAGCTTCGGAACGGATTTCTGACAAGAAGCCCACACCTACCAAAATGGTTTCTAGAAAGCAAATTATATAGCTGTAAGACATGGAAAACAAACCAGCAATTTGCAAACCACTGCAAGTAAAATGCAAACACAGCAAACAGAAAATTCATTCTGAAACGTTCATCCTATTATGCTGGACACTAATATAACCACAGCTGTAACATTATACTTTTAAATCACTGGTTCACCTATAGAAAAACTGCAAGAGCAAAATTCCTTTTTATCCCATGGAATCTCATATATTTCATCTCATTAGGGGCGGTCATTTGCTTATGAATGATTTTTATAAAAGAACAGGATAAAGGAACATTATTCTAAACTATACTTAAGGTCTTCTAAGGACTTATGACAACTGAAGTTCCATTTATGCTGGATAGAGCAAATACACAGAACAGTAAAAGGTCCCTGACCACATTAAAAAAAAACCAAGTCTAAACAGGTAAGACAGAACAGGGGAAAGTCCACACACAGCACAAACAGCAGGACTGCAGTAAATGTAACAGTAGTTCTACTCTGCAGGTGGCTTTTGCTTGCAAACAACACAGAAGGAGGTACAGGGTAAGGAGGGCACAGTGGGTGGGAGGAAGCTCATGTAGTATGCAGGAACGAAGCAGAAGTGAAGAGGAAGAATGGACAGCAAGAGGTGGAAGAAACAATCAGTAAGCACAGGACAGAGAACAGCTAATTAAAGTTAGTGAATGTTCTCTGAATGGTCAAAGGTCCCTGGGCTTTTGACTCTTTCTGTTCCTGTGAGTTAGTCTCTGGCAGGGTCTTTTCACTACTGCTCCCAGGCTCAGAGCATTTATTTTATACGTATTTTCAGTTCTTTCCCCTATCACAATCCCCTCCCCACATCTTAAGACAGGATCAAAGATCTCTCCCTCACTTGTAGCTTTAAAACAGAGATTATATGAATCTACTCAACAATATCTGTATAGAACAAGGACACGCAGATCAGCCCTATTTGCAAGCGATCCAAGTTCTTATATTCTGACTTCAACCTTCCTAACTCTTTCTTAGGTAACACATACTAGTAAGTAGAAAAGTGAGGCAAGACACTGTTCTATAAAACAGCAGCTGAAAGTTGATAAGAGTACATAAAACACTGTACTTCATGCTGAATAACAGAGTTGTTAGGATTCAGGATGGGTACAGCTGCTCTATAGGCTCTGGTGCACACAGCCAGATGGAAATATTCTAACCTTCACAGTAAACTGTACTTGTTCTAGTATTAACTGAATGGATTAGGCTTATATCAGAACAGAAGATGCATTTTCATTGTCAAAACACTCATTGTTTATATCCTTTAGCATAAATAGAGATAAGCCAGTGTAAAGAGCAAGTCTGCCTACAAAGGCAAATCAAACCTGTGAAACTGAAGTGGTGTAATTTTTTATGGGGCTGTATGGATAAGGGCAAATAAACTAGACTGAAGTCACTTTCATCTGGTGCAAGAACTCCAATAGGAATAATTTATACTGGCATAGCAACTGCAATATAATCAAAAACAATTCCTGGAATTGGGCCAGTGTTCCTAGGTTGTTTCCTTCTGTGAGGAAATAAGGTACCAATAGATACAGTTTTACACTGATACAGCTCTATTCACACCGAGGAAAGGTGGCTGATACTTTAATTATGTCAGTACAGATAAAGTAGGGAAATGTCTGATAGAAAACCAAGTGTCTCAGATATAGTCCATTTACCTATTGCAAGATAGCAACAACATTCCTAGCACAGGCAACACTTTAGAGTACTAATTCTTAACTTAAAAAATAATCCCTCCCGTGTCATTCCCAGAACATCACCAACCTTTGAAATGCTAATGGAATTACTAGAGACAAACCAGACTTTGAATTTCTGCCAGATTCCATCAGGAGTTCATCTAACAAATTTTTCTCTGTGCTGCTCAGGTGTCACTATTCTCTTCATACCTCCTTTTCTTTTAAAACAAACTATTTTTTTTTTTAGAAACAATGTTGGGGTAATTTTGAATCTTTGTAAAAACACTGGTAAAAGTAAAGTGTGTATCTTGGCTTGAAAATATACATAAAAGCAATTGTTACTTCTCTGCCAGACTACAGCTTTGGAAATTACCTGTAACTTGCCAATGACAATAACAGGCAAGTAGTTATCCAGCAAAATTCCTTTAGTTCAGCTGCACAATAGTACTTCCACACTACCTGCACTTTACTTGGTTGTTTGAAACAGCATCTGCCAATTCCAGCTGTGCTGTTAAAAAAACAAACAAACAAAAAAAAAACCAACAAAAAAAGCCCCCAAAACAACTCCACAAACAAAAAAACCCAACTGTTTTGCTTCTAAAGGAATAAAGTTTAGTTATTTATCCAAATGTTCTTTAAAGGACAAAATAAATGAAAAAAAAAGTTTTAACTACTGTGTTGCCCCTGGGACACCATGAATGGTAACTCCCAGACAACTGAGTTGGGACACCAGCATCACCTGATAAAACAAGAATGCATTTTCCTCTTTACAACAGCTTCCAAAACAGACTCAAGAGAAATGCATTGTTTTTGTCTCCCTACCTTCACCTCCCCCTAAAATAAGACCTCTTCTCCCAGTAATCTTTGGATAAAAAATGAAATATCTACAATTGTAACTTACCTATCAAAGGTGAACTGTATGTGCCTCAGTAAGAATATGAACTGCAGTGACCATAACCTAGCACATGTACTGATAGGTTTATTAGTTATTAAAAAAAATAGCAAAAAATTGACTTTTAACAGCTGAACATTCTCATCTCAGGGATCAATCTGTATTAAAAAGTGAGGTGCTTAAAAGTAGGGGGTTTTTGTTTGCTAGTTGATGAACCTCAGTAAAAAGAAAAAAGTTGAAAATAAAACTTAACATTACAACTCTTGTATAGCATGCTATCATAAATTAATGAGACAGGCATACTTGTATAGAAAATCTTGTTAAACAAACATCATGTCTCTATTTAGAAAAATTCTCATTGCAAATAGTTAACAGAACACTTTAAAGACCTGCCAGTAAATGTAGTCTATTATATACAGAAACTATCATTTCTCAGTACTCTGAAATTCTGTAAAAATCAATCTAAAATACGTTTAACTTAAAGAAAGCATCTTGAAGGATGCAATACTTAAATCTACTCCTTAAAAATCAGCTTCACTGCTCTTTTTGATGGTATTCCATAACCTACACAATTACCATTCCACAGCATGATAATGAAGTTAATCTTCAAAGCACTACATAGGCTTCATCACCTCTTCTTGGTGAGCATGTCAGGAATGGACAATCCTGAAACTCCCATAGCTGTATTGCAGATAAGGAATTAGACGCTCCACTCCTCCTTCAAAAATATAACCAACCAGTTCAATGTAACAACAATAAAAGAGTGGGATCCAAGAGGAGACCATTTAAACCGGATGTTCATGAGCAGGATAACAAATTTCTGGGTCTGCACTCAAAAAAATGCCAAGATGTTGGGACCCAAAATCAGTGTAGCATGTTGGGTGGTATCCAGTCCTGTCATTGTTGCTAAGCCCTAAGGTAAGCTATACATCAGCTCCCACATGAGCCCTCTCAGACATTCTTGGAACACAAATCCCAAGAACAAGTTAAGATACGTTCTTCTGAGCAGGCAGGAAGCTAACAGTGTTCCAAAGAACAGTGGAACAAAGATATTCCATAAAACTAATATATCAATGGGTTATCCACAGAGAGAGTTACATGCACAGCTTATGTATTGCTCAGATACTTGTATTTCAAACTGCTAATGGTACAAACTTGCCAACAGTGGAATGAACTGTTTCTTAAAATACGTCACTTCTCTAAGATTGAATGTGCTGTGTGCTACACGATTTTTTTCAGTTGTAAAGAACCTTAAATAACTGTTGCTCAGATTTTCTCTAACTTGACGAATTCAAGAGGTACAGGAATTTGCCCCCAATCGTTTAGCATATTCTGTGGCAAGAATTACAGGGATTACTCATTTCTATAGGGAAAAAACCCCCAAACCTTGTATTCCTCACCACTTAGGAACATACAACTTATTACAAGCATGTGATTCTCCTTCTACTTACTTAAATGGATTAGGAAGCTACTATAAAGCCTCTTGTATTTTAACAGTTTTTTTAACCAATTGCTTGGAAGGAGTAGTTGCTTACTTTTTAAAGCAGATGATCTATTTCAGATGCAGCTGTTTCTCTCACATTCTGCATTGCCTATAGAACTGAACATAGAAAACCCTAAATATATCTCATTGATGTTAACAGTCTATTGAAGTTATATATCTTAAAAGGTAATACATATATTTCTTTGATTTGTTGTAATCTTTTATCTTAAAATACTCTCAATTTTTATTCTTGATCTCAAAATACTGATCCTTTTATATTATCTTTCTGGTTTTGAACATGGCAAGGAAGTAAGTCTATAGTTGAAGTTGGGTAAGTCTTAAAAACAAATACCCAAATCGGTCATGTTATCTCTTTTGAAACACTACGACAGAAGAAAAACTTTTTGTTTTTTAACAAGGAAAACTTACTGCTTTTTTTAACAATTACAGAACTATTTCTACTTTTTCTTCCCCATCCCCCCCGCCCACAAAAGCAGATTAAAAGAGAACCTTGGATCATGAACTAGGACAAGCTACTGGAGATGGCCATAACAGCTCCTGTTGCCATTGCACACTGTTCCTCTCCAAGTCTCCTGCCCCCAGTACTGAGGCAGCAGCAGTGCTGTACTTTCCAAGAGCAGAAATAAAGTACAGCAGCACCAGTTCTGGGGCACTTTAAGGCTCTCTGTTACCAACCATACTGAGCTGTCACAACACAAACTGAGCTACCCTGTCCTTGGAGAAAGTGGGGACTAGCTGAAGCAGGAAACAAACCAAGTAAATGCCATGATCTGAACAGAGCCCCTATCACTTACTCTAATATGGAAGCTGTTAGTTCTAAATTATACATTCAATATCAAAAGCCAGCTCTTTCTTTGAAAAATGGAAATGACTGTAGTTGGACCAACTACACACAGGTTCATGTAGGAAAATGGGATTAGAATTAGACATTCATGTTCTCTGCCAGTATAGAAGTCCTCTTTAGAAACAGTACTGTTGAAATGTTAGATAATTATATAAGGCTCAAACTGCAACTAACAAACCCTCTCACAAATATAGACATGTCTATTTTAAATTAAGTGTTAAGTGGGAAATATTTATAGTTTAAGTTGCACACTTTGCTACTTAATTATCATAACTTAAAAAAGAAGACACCTTTAATTTCCTCCTCCAAAGAAGTTATTTACCTGATCTGTAGCTTGGGAGTCCCCAGTAGTCAGTTCTGAGATTCTCATCCCACTGAATGTCAAGGACCTAGCATTTGAAGGATGGTATTTCAACATCAGTTATTGACAACTTAACTTTGACTCACCAAAGATAAACCAACCTTCATTCCCACTCAGGTCAACTCATTGATTTCACAGAAAACACATTTAGAAAGCAGAGCTGAATGCTTTCAGAAATTCCACCCATGAGATAAAAAGGGGGAAAAAAATCCCAGCCAGCAAAAAGGAACCGATATAAAATGCTTGAGACTTCTTGATGCATTATGAATCAAGTATTTTTGTATATTTCTCTGCAAAGTAACATATAATCAAAATTACTCTTAACTGCTTGCTGAAATGATATAATCTCAAATACCTTACCTTCTTACTGTTCAGATACAGGACTCCGTTCTTTGACAAAAACCCAATTTCATCCTTGTACCAGAGGCTGTGTTAGGAAAATTACAGTTCTGCTGAGGAGTCTGAAAAAAATACACTTGCTGCTCTCAATATCCATATTATAGGCACCATAAGCATTATTATGAATAATACTGAACTTGGTTTCTGTTTTACTCTTGTCCCACTTTGGGTTCAATGGAACTGTGTTCCATTAAAGTTTGACTTCATGTACAGTCAGAATAGAGTCTCACCAGCAGGACCTAATAAGCTTAAGAATAAATATTGTCCTTCAATTACATTAAAAATAAATTTGGATACACCAAAGCCCTCAGTTTTTATAATTCTGTATCATTAAAAAAAAATTAAAATTGTATCTAGTGAACACTATTCATAGCATTCACACTGCAAAATAGGACCAGATAATTCTGGTTTGTGATGATTTTATTGACATGCATTTCAATTTTTAGAAGTACACTGAAGCAACAGCCTCCTTTTCACTACTGCTGTTCCTGTTTGGAATACACTAACAGTTCAAAAGTTTTTTAAACTAGTTTCTGACCTCTAATTATCCATTACATTATAAAGCATTCCTGTTCCTGTTTGGAATACACTAACAGTTCAAAAGCTATTTTAAACTAGTTTCTGACCTCTGATTATCCATTACATTATAAAGCATTTATTTAAAACAACATCTTCATGATTCCTACAAGAATGAGGGGACTAAACTAAAGGCTTACACTTAAAAAAAGCAATGCTCTTTCTATGTCACCAAAGTTCTCAGCATCAGTTCTCTACCAGGAAGGCACTTACAGAAGTCAAACGTGCATGAAAACACACAGAACAGGAGCCTCTGTTTCCAGACCCAAAAGATACCACAGTAATATACCTGAGAAATTTGAAATCCATTTCATTCTGCAGGATTTTTAGTATAACAAATGATACTGTTAAGGCTTCTCAGATCACAGATGTATCTAGAAAGATGCAAGTGATCCAGTAATTTAACTAATGAATCTAATTTAACTAACTAAACTAGTAATTTAACTAACAGAGTAGACAGATACAGATATCATTAAAGGATTCTTGATTTGTGCACCACTGAAAAGGCTGACAAACTGTACTCTACCTCAGAAGAAGCATTTGGCTGTTGGGTTTTTTTCCCAAACTATCATTTATTTGTCTGCTGGTTGGAACACCAAACCCATCGCCAGTTAAAGAATCCCCACAGTTTGCAATGAGAAAACAAGAAATTCAAGTGCCTGTTTAAATAGTCACAATTATTTTATCAATTTACTGCTAATAGTTCTTATTGAATGTACATTGCATATAGCTCCCATACAGAATATTACTAGAAAACAACTTGTGCTATGAAGTCATGATTACGTTATAAAAATAATTGGATGTCTTGATAAAAAATAAACATGACATACAGAAACCATTAGTCTAAAATTAAATCCTGGTCAGGTGTTACAATGCCAAGATTTAATAACATACTTGAAAAAAAAAATTAAAATAAATTTTTAAAAATTCCAAAGTTGATTTTTTAAAGTCAAAATTTGAAAGTTTTGGAAACCTAACTGTGCCTTCCTTTTTACTGCCTCTGAATGACTTGAGACTTAATAACATTTTGATCAAAAGCAACAACTCAGGCTTAGCAAAATACTGAATTTATGTAATAAACACATACAAAAAGTCTGAAAAAGCATGCAGCAGAAGGGAATTGTGTCATTAAGATCATAACCTCCATTTACAGCTACTCTCAAGATAATAAATGGTGCCAGAATTATTTTCCAGACTATTTCCCTCCACACATCTTGTAAGTATCTGTGTTCCTACATGTGCCTTTTAATTTCAACATACTTTATGTGTCAAATGACCAACACAAAGGCTCTGACAGGACACAGCATATATGCTAATGTAAATGAAATGCCAGCATACCAAACGCAAGTAAGTATAATTAAATAAAACGTACCTGGACTTGAAGAAGCACCCTTGAGCTGCATCAGTGCTAATTCCCAAATGAAGACTCTTCCTTGCAAATGAGTGAGCTTTCTTCAGATCATTATTCTGTGGCACAGGCTCCTCCAAATGGCAGAATGAATGTATTGCCATTATTGAAAATTTACAGATCCTCTGAAGTAATTGAACTGAAAGCAAGAAATACAGCAACTTTATTTGGTCTAAAGTTACTAAAAATACTTTACTTAGTTTTCAAGAACTTGTTACTTAACAATAGCATTTAAAATACATAAAGGATATGTATATGCAGTGATTGATAAAGTATAAATGAATTCATTAAACCAGACAGTTCATCTAAGCAGAGATGCCTAAACAAGGAACATCCATTTAATGCTATTGCAGAGCACCATTGCCATACATTTTACAGATGTTTCTTACACATTATACATTTCTTCTCTTCAAAGAGGCTTTCACCTGGGTATCTATAATGACACACATATTTTGCAGAACATTTGCTTGTATTATAGAATTATCTTCAAGTAGTTCAAGTTACTCCTTCCAGCATAAATTATTTTGTAACTAAAACCACCAAATGTCATCTACCACCATTGTACTAATACAGACAGCTTTAGAAGGCTGCCTTCAAGTTTCTCACAACTTTCTCTGATTTTGCAGAACATATTCAGTATTTTACTTGAGATGCTTACTTGAGGGCAAGATGAGTCACAGATTCTAGAGGCATAATCTGATGAGCATCTATTCAGTAAAATGCCAGTTCAAGAGAGAGGACCCTCCTGCTGCTTGTTCTCATCCTTAGGCCATGATCCCATCTCCTGGTGGAGCCACCCACTAGACCAGAGTGGGAAACTAGCTTGGGTTAGAAACTGCTGCTTGCCACAGACCCCTCTCGAAGTCAGGATCAATTTTCTGATTCAAGTCACTGCATGATGGCACAAATCACTGTGCTATACAACAGGAGGGAAAGTGAGGAACAAGACCACACAGCTAATTGCAGCTACAAATGTCAGTACTTAAGAAACTGCCGTTGTCACCGGAGTGTAAACTACAAGGTACATCACAGCTTTGACACTGAAAGCAGCATAACATACTATTGGACTGCTTTAACTAGTCAGGATCAATTTTCTGATTCAAGTCACTGCATGATGGCACAAATCACTGTGCTATACAACAGGAGGGAAAGTGAGGAACAAGACCACACAGCTAATTGCAGCTACAAATGTCAGTACTTAAGAAACTGCCGTTGTCACCGGAGTGTAAACTACAAGGTACATCACAGCTTTGCCACTGAAACAGCATAACATACCATTGGACTGCTTTAACATTCAGTTCCACCTCTGCATCACTGGTCATCATCCCCACAATTACATCAAAAATGAAGACTTGTAGAGCCTCACCAAAATTGGGTGGGGTACAATTTCCTGCCAAAGGCCACACACTGCAAGTTTAAGGTGGGATGAACTAAACAGGGTGCGTGAGTGTATCAGTATACAGGTTCATCCCTCTCTTGTCTATTAATAACAGAAGCAACTTAGTCATGGTTTAGACTGCTAAACACAGAAGAGATTAATGCAGTTAAACATGTCTGCTTAGGTTAGGTGTGGCCTTTTCTAACTTTCAAATCCACTACCTGATTTCAAACTTTATCAAGACGGAAAATTGAAAAGTCATTTACAGTTTAATAAGAATTCAGAAATTTCAGAAATCCAAGCACTGGGCAGATAGATATAGAAGACCGACAAACAGACTAAAGTGAAGTACAGACTGCAGCCTCTGCCCTTGTTATTAGGGAACAAACACACAAACAAGAGACACATGACAAGTACCCCAGCTGCAGCTGGTATTTTTCATTACATCTAAGATACAACTGCATAGAAGCTGTTGTATCTTGTGCTCACTGAACTACTAGACTATCCATGCAGAATTCAAAGCTACTTAAGTGGCATTAAAAGAAGAGTCCTTGGTCTGCAAATTCCAGCTCTGCTCTTTGTGTTCACTTTAGAAGTACAGTATGTACAGCACTTGACAGCTTCCGGTCTCCTGGCACAGCATCTCATCCTAACGAGATGCATTCTTCTTAGCAGATCAGCCACTTCATCCTTTAGAACCACTAAAGGAATGAATAGCACCGAGTCCTGGTGACTTAGGAGTCTTTAGCACTTCATTCTAGCGTTCAGTCTTTTGCCATTCTAATCCCATAATCAGATAACATCCAATCAACATTATTTGAAAAGAATAAAATGCTCACAACATCCTTGTGGTGAAGAGCAGCATAAAGAAATAACTCCACTCCTTCCTAGCACCTCTTATTCCTTTTAATGGCTTTCTATACTCCCTAAAAGCCCAAGAGACCTGCCAGGTCCTTAACACATTACTTGCAATGTGACCATACTCCCTGTATTTTTAAATAAAAGCATACAACCAAGTGTTTTCCTGAAATACACTGTTACCAATAACACAGGACAACAACTATAGCCTGTTACTGAGATTAATGCAACTATTGGGAGGCTTAAAATGTTACATAAAAACATTTCTAATTGCATGCAAGTGAAAGTGATTGGCCTTTTACAGGTAGCAGTTAAGAGATTTCCTCCCTTATCACAAACTTCTTGCTTAAAAGTAAGTAATTAACAATACTAAATGAGAACAGTTATAGAAGTATCAATGGGTACAAAGTTTATCCAGGCACAGGAAGAAAATCCATATGATTCCCTGCACATAAGAAGGATTATTCTTTATTAAACTCAACCAGCTGTGTCTCAACATCTACATATATTCAGTTTCTATATAGTATATTCTAACAGTGGGGAGTTTGTTGGGGTGGCAGTGGGTTTGGGATTTTTTTTTTTTAATATAAGAATGCCCTCTCACATTCTGAGCCCTTGCTTTGGAAAGTTTTAAGGGCCTCAAACCCTTCTTAGGCTGCTAACCTGCACTGATGCCTTCGTTACCATAGTCTCAGTACTAGTGGTACAAGAATTAGGCAGAGTAAGTTTAAATCCATTCACACACCTCATTTGCACATAAAGCATCCAATTTTCAGGCACTCTGCTCTGGACTAATTCTAGAAAAAGCCAGCTGTATGCTAGGAAAGAATTCCTACACAAGGAATACAATCTGACATAAAACTGTATACAAAGAATTTGAGGCAATACACAAAAAAGGCATGGGTGTATTCCTCTTACTGTTTTAAATCTTACACCTGGGTCAAATTTGCAACTCCATGTTACCACAGGATGCAATTAGGTAAAATAACGGCAGTGACTTACTAGAGTTTAGCTTATCCAACTAATGAATTTTTTTATAAAGGAAGTTTTCTATTTGCACAATACAAGTGTGATAATCAAAAAATCATTCTACTAGGAACAGGCCTCAGAGGTCATCTAGTTCAATCTCTGCTCAAAGCAGCATTAATATGTGAATACTCATTAATGATACCAGTTGTACTCTCAACCTTGCAGCCCACTAATCTCATGTAATCCTTAATCAAATGCACTCAACTGCCTTTGATAGGATTACTTATCTGCAGAAGGGTTTGTGGGACCAGTCACTGGCCACACGTTATTCCTAAGCATGGAACATTATAGCACTTCCAGCTGTACTCAGAACCAGTACCACGCCTGCATTTCACTTCAAATGGCTTCTAATCAGGTCCTGTTATGAGAGCAGCTTTCCAAGGGGACCTGCTGTACAGGGGTAGATTTTGATGGATGACAAAAGGATGGAGTTTAGTAGGGGCTGATGAGCCCCTAAGCACAGGGCTGGGTCCTGGTTTCAGGTGGTTCACAGGCTGATGAATGTGGGATAGAGGTCCCGCTGAGAGATACCTATAGAGGTAATATAAAAAAAATAAAAACACCTATAAAGAGAAATCAACACTACTGGCACCAACAGTCCTTTACATATCAAGGTCAGTGACCAAACTTCAGCAGAGTAAGTTTGGGAACCTCTTCTATAGTACTGACATTTTGTTTTGTTCCTCCAATTTTGCTCTGATAATGACCTCCATTTTGGATTTGTGCATAAATTTACACCTTTATTTGATGCATGAAATACAGCACAGTATTGCTAGTTACAAAAAAAAAAAAAGTTAAGAAACGCTCACTAAAACAATCCACAAATAATAATAATAAAAAAATTGAAATGTTTGATAAAAACATGGTTACCCAAGCTGGATTACAAAATAAATTTGCCTTATATTAATTCAGTAATATCCTCTGTTCTGAAGCATGAAATATAGTGACAGTCTATGCTGTGTGACAATACATGAACTCTGCCAAACGAAATAAAAAAAAAGTTCATCTTCTAAAGAATTATTTTATTCAAACATTTAATAGCTGCTATTGTAAGTAACTTCAAATATTAATACTGTGGACACTACTGCAAACAATATAGGCAATATTTAAGTGGTAACAACAAGAAGAAGAAATAAATAGCAGAATATATAGAAAAAAAAGAAATTTACTTTAGCAGCTTTGCTAACTTTGGTCTTAGGACCATTCCAAAAGCATTTTAAAACACTGAGTTCTGGGGTATTTTTAAATACAGTGTATTTTTAAATACACTGAAAACCTTTTAAATTCTACAGTTCCAGGCATTATTTACATGCCTTCCCCAAGCATTCACTAGTGGCCACTGCTGTTTGCATAGAGGGCCTGTCCCTATTTGACCTCACTCACTTAAACTACAGGACACTCCAACAACATCCACAAAAGGAGTTAAATTTTCCACTAGTGTGCAAGTGGCAGAAGTTAGGTCACAGGATGGTGCACCCACATCAACCACGAAGCCATGAAAGAAAGGGACATGGTTCAAAGATGCAGGTGAGAAGCAGCAAGAGACAACAATCAAGCCAGCAATTCTAAAGCCAAAAACAAGAGGTCAGTCAGATTCTCAAACTGACAGAGCATCTTCACCAGCAAATTCCTACCTTAGATATCTTTATTTTATACTTGTGTTATGAAACTTCAGTATTTTTTCTGATTAATAAAGGTAATTGATTCTACTAAATATTTAAGTTCCCTTTTAACAATAAACTCTATTGCTTTTGTGTTTTAGGAAAAAAAATTACTTTAGAATAGTTTGCAACAAAATTAACTGCATTTCCATGTTTGCAACCCTTCTTAGAAGTGTGGTGTTTGGCATACTAGTTGAGAAAGGAAGGTCAATACCTGACTACCAATCAATAAGTCCCTGTCCTGACACACTGTCTGAGAGAAGACATAATAAATTGCAAGGAGATGCTCTGTGGTATGTTGCCAACACAGGTATGCCCACATTGCTAGGTGCTGCTGCCATGTAAAAAGCAGATGATTGGTTTTGAGTTTCGGCCAAGGTGCAAAATTACTTTACTGAAAGCTTTAACTAGGAAAAAAGCAATCTAAAAAAGAAAAAAAAGAAAAAAAAAAAGAGAAACAGCACACCTCAAAACTTCTACATTAGCACACCACAGGTTAATAAAAATTACCAGTCTGTCTAGTTAATAACATTTCTGATATTTGGAAAAAGCACTATCAGGCTGAAAAGGACAATCACAGCCATTCCCTCTATTCTAAAGGCAAAGGTAGAAATGATGCTTTACATAGAACAAGTACTGAACACTACCATAGCTTTGGAACATATCTCTAATTTTAAAGTACAAAGAAAGGTTGAGAGATTGACAGGGAGGAGGACATACAATTAGATGCACTTAACAGGCCAATGGGTTGTAACAGTTGAAAAGGAGAGAGGCGCTAAATTTACATCAGCAAACCAGAACTCAGCAATATTTCATTTCAACTAGAAGTTGAACTACTGATATTTTAGGCTAGAGGGAAAAAAGGTAATTTTTTTTTTTTTACCACCATGATCCCAATCATATACTCCTTACACCCCCTGTCAACCCAGAGTCCAAGAATTACAGAAAAAATGCTCTAAAATCAGTTTGGAGACTTAAAAAAAATAATTTCTTTAGGAAAGGGTAGTGATCTCCAGGCCCAAACATCTCCTATTTGAGAGTGAAGATACATTCTTACAGCAAGCAGTGTAACAAAATCA